GCTCAAGCACGAGTTTATTTGTACTGATACGCAAATGGACACGGCGAGCCTTGTTTACCGAGGCAGGGCGTGGTTGGGAAAAGGTCAAGGGTGGTCAAACGAGAGAGAGAGAGGGAGAGAGTATGAAAGAAAGAGTATGAGAGTATGAAAACTCAGACCAGGAGACTAGGTTACATTGCCCCCGTTAGGCTCACTGACTGGGGACCTCGACATGACGGTCACCGATGGTTAGATATACTGAGTGATATGGCTGGGTGTCGCAACCAGTAGCGCTTGTGCATCCAATCATTATTCTCCCAACACCACTCTATATGAATTCTCTATCTTCCGCTTGAATTTGCTTACAACATTCCAATCTTCATTCTGCTCTTTTATCCAAATGGAGCACCAAAAGACAACCAAGACCGGCGCACAAATGTAGATGGTTAATGCTTGTAAGAACTGAACTGGACTATATTCGTTGGTGTGCGTTGACAAACAGTTAAACTTGTCAATGGCACTGCCAGCTCTGTGGACAGAAGTACGGTCTTGCATTTAAGCTCTGAAAAGAGAAAAAGGAACTGAACTTAATCGTCGACGTTCCACTTTTTTTTCAAAATCAGTGATGATAGGTTTGTGAGTCGTATCACTTACTTGCTGCACAACATGTGATAGTCGGATCGTATTCCATCATCTTTTCAGTGCATCACACACTGATTTTGAGAACAGTTCTCATGTGGACTGGGCAAACCATCACGGTATACTTTTTATTCCGATCCTCTTCGAATTCCTTCTTCGATGTCGGATCAGTTTCAAACAGACCAAGGTCCGCTAACATCGGGTAGAATAATCTGTCTGGATAGTGGTGTATTGATGCAATTTTCACGTCGCATCAGGTTATTGAGTTACGTCACAAATAGCATCGACCAATGATTACAGTATTCCTCGTCTGAAAAGACCTTTTGGCTCAATTCATTCCGGGAAGCTCTTCGGTTTTGTTTTTGCATAAGGAGCATCGCAGAAATATTTTATCTTACCAAGGTCAGGCTAATTACTTATTTCTGATCGAACGAGAATCTATGATGAACACAGTAACTCCTTCGGCACCACCAACGGTGTTCGTCGTGCGTGCTCTATTTTATCAATACTATTCACTCTCGTCATAGACCTTTTTATTACACAAAATT